AGTTCAGGTCCAAGAGAGGTTTGGATACTTCTAGTGTATCTAGGGTCTGGATGACCTACAAGTTAGAAGATTTTTATGGCCCTAAAAACCCCGGAAGACCCCTTCCTCAAGATTTGAGGTGAGCCTTCAATAATTGCAACTTGCGTTATAGTTTGAAGCCTGCCCATCCGTCTGCCATATTGGAAAGAGACAACCACCATTCCCGAAATTGGTTCAGAAGAGACTGTTCTTCTAACCAGGCCAGCTCGAACCTAAAAGGTTTAGGTCCGCTCTCGACATGCTTAGAGTCCAGAAGAATAGGACAATGGTTCGAGGTGGGTTTAGGGAGGGTCAAAGAGTGAATCTCAAGAAAAGTTAAAGTCTCAGTCTATAGAGATCAAGAACCGGTCCAGTTTAGAGAGGGTAGGGTTGGAGGCGTGGTTGGACCAGGTAAGCTGAGTTCCTTGTGTAGGTAAGTCAAACAGATTGTTAAGGACAATGAAGTAAGAGAAAGTTGACATTGTCGGAGTTAATCTGGAGGAGGTGTTTCTTTCATGGGACCAACTCGTAACATTGAAATCCCCGGCTATACATCAGACGGGGTGGGGAAGATGGGCAACCAGGTTGAGTTCGTCCCATAGTAGTGGTCTGTCAGCACCAGAATTGGGCCCAAAGACCATTGAAAATTTCCATAGCATACCATCAAGGACCCTGGAGAGTAGAATGGGAACAGAGAATGTGGCTATTGGGAGGAATTCTGGGAATGGGTTGTGGGGTTCCAAATAACCCAAATTCCTCCCGAGGCGCCTTCAGCGGGGAGGGCTACCCATTGACATGGTCGACCCCCCCAAACTAGTCGAACCAGAGGCAGAGATGGTTCAAGAAGTTTCGTCTCGGTTAGAGCCAAAATGGTGGGTCTATGCCTAAATTATAGATCCTTGATTGCTTGCTTCTTGTGCGGCAGTCCAAGCCCTCAAATATTCCATGAGAGTATTAGCATTGGGGGGCGAAGGAGAGAGGAGAGTTCCTAAGGGAATGCCTAACCAAAAGACCTTTGGGGTTATCCTTAGGCTGGAGAGGGGCAAAATAAAAGTTTGAGGATGAGGGTTTGTTGTAGTTGATGCTGCTAACCAGATTGGCTAATTCACGGGTGCCCTTCTTGCTTACCCGAACTCAAGATTGCTTGTCTGCTTGAAGAATTCTTATATCGGGTCCGGTGTGTGGGAAGCCCATGACTTTCATCACATCCCGAATCTGGCCTTGACCCACATCGATGTCATTGACGTGATTCGAGTCCACCGAAGGGGAGAGAAAGGATTCCCCATAGTATCGACTGAGAGAGAAGATCTTGCTGAGTCCGTCGAGGAAGGAATAGGGGTGGGTAAAGCCGATAGCACTGGAAACTGGAGCTCATCTACTTTTATAGGTTTGAAAAACCCTGCCAAAAGTCCAAAGGGGTTCCTTATCAGAGTGGCACCGGGATCAACCAGAGAGAGGGGAGGCAGGGGAGGGGCGACTCTTAGAATAACGGGTGGTTCTATTGAGGGTGCATGGACCTTTTCAAAAACAGAGGCTAAACGGGGAGGTTGAGAGGGCATAGAATCCAATAGGGGATTGGGCCCAGGAGAGGGGTGGGGAGAGTGTGGGGTAGAGAGGGAAACCAGCCCAAGGCCAGAAGAAGTTGGGCAAGAAGAGATGACGGAGTAAGGGGGGAGGAGGGTATAGGGTAGAGGGGCCAGGAGGAACCTTGGAATGAGCCGAGAAAAGAGGGGTTGAAAAATTAGGTGGTCGGAGAGTGGCGAACGGGTCGAGAAAGGGAAAAGGTGCAGGTAGAGGAGGCGTTGGGGTGAGGTTTGGGAGGATCACAGGGATGGGAGTAAAAGGAACAAGTGGGATAGCCAACAAGTAGTGGTGGGAGCATATCGCTTGCCAACAGGTTAAGGTCCATGGTTTTAGAGGTTCCCTCAGTTCCGATAAGGTCCTTCTCAGCCGAGGGAGTCGAGGGTGAAGGGTTGAGCTGCTCTGGTTCGTTTCCCCCTTCTGAGTTGAAATCGATAAGTAGGGGATAAGGGGGAGGTGCAGGGTCAGGTCCCGAATGAAAGGGAGAGAGAAAAGAAGCCACGGACTTAAAAGGTTGAGGCTGAGAGTTGTCCTGCTGATCGGGCAACGTTGTTTTAGGTAGTAATGATGGCGATGAAGTGGTAGGGTGGTGAGGTGCAAGGGATGACGTGATGATGAATTGCGTGGAGAGTGGAGAGAGCAACCCAGGAAGGGGTAGGTGAAGCGACTCCGGCAAAGAGCTGAAGAAGATCTGGGCTTGATGGGTCGATGGAGGGTGGGGGAGGACACAGGTATGAGCGGCCTCGGGATGGTAGACGGGAAGGTGGTAGGTGGCGAGCGAGGGAGGTGGCGACGTACAAGTGTCGGGCAGCTTCGGTGCAAGGGGTAGAAATGAGGGGGTGTGCCATTGTACTCCCATAAGGTCTTGAGAGGACATTAGTGTCGACGTGGCCGTAAGGGTGGGCGACGACGTCATGGCCCTGTCAGAGAAAGGTAGGTGATTTTATCGAAAGGATGAGCTGTTAGAGATGAAGGAGGCAGAGCAGAAGACAGAGTCGTGGGTGCCGGTGGAGGTGAAGTTGACTGCGTAGGTGGTAATTGTTAAGGTTGGCGAGGTCGACATGGAGGCTGTTGTTTGCTGGGTCTGCGAGGCTATCGTTTCCTATAAATGAAGGTCCAGTTGTCTTGAGACTTGGGAGGGTGAGCTCAAGGCTTCAAAAAATGCTAGGTGGCCCCTATTTGGCCGGCTTGGCACCCAACGCTCAGGCAGGCGCCTAGGTGTGCGCCCAGAACCTTGGGCACCCTGTTGTACAAGTTATATAGATATGTGGTTTATGTACATATATTTGTGTCAATTTTAGAATGTATTACATTTGAAAATATTGTAACATATTTTTTTATATACAAACATATGACATATCGCATGTTGAGAATAAACTTGTTCAAAATTTCAAAATTCAAACCATACAAAATTTAGAAGTCTAATAGGATATGCATTAGTAATAGTCTCCAATTCTCCATATTTCATACTAAGTGAAAATGTTTAGCAAGCTTCTTCAAACCACAAAAAATACTCTTGATTCTTAGAAACAGGTATAGCTAAGAGTTTGAGGACACAGGTATAGCTAAGAGTTTGAGGGTTTATGGAATTTTTCTGTTAACTTTGGGTGTTCAAACTAATCCCCATAACCTAGTTAAACCTTTTTTAGGGTCAAAATTACCCCATTTTCCCTTTTGGGTATTTTTTTGTTTTTTTTAAAAAAGAAAAGCCGATGTCCTTGGGTGCCTGCCCAAGTACATCCGTCCATGTAGGGCCGTCTGGCTATGGGAGTGCGGTATTTTGGTCCAGGCCACCTAGGCGGGGGCCTAGGCGTCGGGCGGACCATTTTTTAAAACAATGGGTGAGCGGAGGGGTCTCCGGGATAGCTTACACCCTACGAGGGATCCACTGGGGATACAAAGCGAGGCGAGGCTGGGGAAACCGTCGATCACGAGATGAAGATCTGGAAAAAGTTTCTGGCCACTTCTAACCAGAGGAAAGGTGCGATAGACTAAGGGTCGAGGACGTCGACAATGAAAAGAAGGGACCCCAGCGGAATGCTCTCCATAGGTTGCCAGTGGACGGCGACGAATGTGCGGGCATGCATTACCAATGGCTTTAAAGGTGTTGAGGCACCATGAGTGAAGGGCAATATCAGAATCTGTAATCCATACTTTTTGCCTCCGGAAGGCACCCTAATCTTTCGTCCATTTGGAAAGGTGGAGGGAGGCTCCCTTGAAAGAGAACGGGGAAGAACTCTGAAGAATGGATAGGGCTGCTTCAGCCGAGGGAAAAGAAAACAGGAAGGTCCCATTTGAGAGAGGCCTACACCTGAGCCCTGGTTCCTTCCAGCCTTCCTTGGCCCATCTTTCGACACCTTTGTGGTCATTGCGCTGGGGGTGGAAAACGCCGACTAGGGACGACTTGTACAGGTTTGCTAGGTTGGAAGCAGAGGTTGAGGGAATAGAAATAAGGGGGGGAGAATAGGAGAGGAGGGAGCGGGAGAGGCCAGTGGCCATTGAACCTTTTATGCCATTCACAAGAACAGCCCATCAGCTTTCATGGTTGAAAATCTTGTGTTGTCTTTGGTTTGCTAAGCATTTTGGATAGACATACTTAGAGAAGGAATTCTAATCCAATTAGGAGAAGATATTCTTTTTACTTAAACACAATTGAATCCCTCTCCCCATAAATCTCTCTCTCCTCCACTCCCTAGAAAATTATTCTCGCTCTGACTTCTTTTGTTGCTGGTATTAGCTCTTATTATTGATGGCATATTATACGAGAGTGGTTTTGTAGCGCTGATCTAAAGGCTGAGGAGAGAGTCTATAGAGTATGTTTCTCCCCAACTTGGTATACAAGATAAAGGTCGCTATATCACGTTAGGGTATGTGATGGATATCAAGTAGCATATTTTTCATGTTTAAAAAATTACTTTCTTGATAAACAACCCATTTGACTAAACAAAATTACTTTCTTGAGAAACAACCCATTTGCTAATCAAATATGACTATCACATAACTACCCAAAAAAAAAACTATGGACTATCACATCAGAAACTAAAGAGCCAAGAAACAACCCATTTGACTAATCAACTATTAACTACCACATAACTACCCAAAAAGAAAAAGAAAAAGAAAAAACTATGAACTATCACATCAAAAACTAAAGAGCCAAAATGAGTATTCCAAGTGTAACATGCCTCATATGGAAAATCGAAAACGCACATCATATCACCAGTTTGTACATGTCTGCTGTATTCCTTGGTTGGGGTTGATACTGATTTAATTCCCTATGACCTTAATTGTGTATGCTTAATGAGAACAAGAACCATGTTAAATGCCTTTCGATTTTCCTTATTTTTTTTGGATTGTCCTTTTAATTGTGGTAGATGAGTGTGATAATGAATAATGATCTGCAGGTAAGGATATTTACAGCTGATAATGTGAGAGAGGAATTGAAAAACTCCCTAAAAGACTATGTTCAGGCATCAGTGGGCATAAATAACAAAGGGAAGCTCCTTGTACCCAAGATGCTGCATTCTTTTGCCAAAACCATAGTGGAAGAGGCCTTACTTTCAGAGTGGATCTGCCAATTCCTTCCCTCTCATCAGGCAGCTGTCATTCAGGACTGCATCCGCCAACGCAGGCAAAGGTTCCTAGGGAGCCGGAATTGTTATGCCATTCTACCCTTCGATTCAAGATTCCGGTACCTTTTCTTGCCAGAATCCAGAAACTCACAGAGCCCCCACTAGAAGAATGATATACTCATTTTCGATTATGTTATTGTTTCATTGGTATTGAGGCCTATTTCGTTCTAGTTTGGCCTATGACTTATGCTATGAAACCCATTCTGACAACTTGGGTGGTGGTATTCCGGCAACTCGAGAGTGGTATTCCAGCAACTGGGGTGTTATTATGGTAATTTGGGTGGTTTTCTGGCGACTTGATGATGGTATTCCTGCAACTTGGGTAATCCGATTCTAATGAATGGTCTTTGTAGTTATTGTGTAACATGAGAAGGGTAAAAGGCGGATTTGGTGCTGCGATAGGTAGTGTACATAGATCAAGGAATGAGGGGGATCATCTTCTTTTCTTGGATTTGGGGTCCTGTAAAATGAGTTAAACTATGTTTATGGGGATGACTGTATTCATTGTGAGTCTGGGGAAATAAGGAATTGGTTGATTGTTATTTCCTGAAAAATTGAAGTTCTTTCTCATGCAGCTGGCGTCTGGTCAATAATAGCCCCCGTGCATTGAAACATGGAGTTTTTTGTTCTCATATACAAGAAAGCATGGCTCTCTCTGTTCAAACTGTTGTTGCTTCCTTTAGTTCGTTCCAGTTTTGAAAAGAAAAGTTCATTTACTCGAGACCAAATAAAGGAGTTGATCAAGTGGGCTGACGCCCACAAGAAGGGCACTACCACCGTTGGTTCACTTTGCAAGGATGATCTGTACCAACTCTGTGTTGAGCTGTTGATACTGCAGTATGCATCACCTTGCCCACCAATTAAATGGTGAGAGGGTGTGTGTTTGCACTTTGTCTCAGTGGAGTGGCACTCCCCATGAAGTCCCGGAGGATGAGGTTTTAGTAAGGCTGCGGATTTACAAATTTGGCTAGGCTCAATCTCAAAACCCTGACTAAAAATTCCAATCCGGCACTAGAAAACTTTGTGATGGCTTGCAAATCAATTTTTGCAACTGAATATAGAATTTGAAGCTCGAAAAATTATGGGGATCTGACGGATTTATGAAGACTTGAATGGTTGGTCTAGGAAAAATGTTTCCAAGATGGACATTTGTTAGTGCTAGTGTTTCTTTCTCTCTCTCTCTCTCTCTTCAGATCCATGATTCTCGAGGTGCAAATAATTGACTCACAAGTTTGTTTTTCCGGAGCTGGAATTGCATTTTCCTACTAGAGTTGAGGTGTGACTGTATAAAGAAGCGTGGGCTAACCAATTAATTTCCACAAGTAGATGAACAAAATCACATGTAGGAGATATGCAATAAAATTCACCAGTCGAACTGTTGATCGTCTTGGCACATTCAGTCTAAAGAAAATACAGTTTGGTAAAAAGCAGTAAAGATTAGTGTAGATGTTTGGTAAAAACCCAGTAAAGATTAGTGTAGATGGTTGATTTCAAATGGTGCGATTGACTAAACAAAATAATTTTCTTATATATTTTTAAACTGTTATTATTATTATTATTATTATTATTATTATTATTATTATTATCATCATCATCATTATTATTATGATTATTAATTATTTAAAAATCAGGTATAGTCAAACCATATTTAATTGGTCTATATCCCTCCCATCAATTTGGTGGCCAGAACCAGAAAACTATTTTTTCTTGAACACAATGTCACAATTTGATGTCGTAAGGAATGTTTAAGAGCAATCAAAAGTGTCATGGATTGGTTGAGATATTCCTCCTCTGTCTCCTCTTTCCTTTGTGTTCGGGCCCATCAAAGTTATTATCAACCCATCTATGTAAAACGATCGTTCTTCACGTGTGTGTGTGAGAGAGAAGAGATTGGTTCCAGCTCCCTTGGCCAAGATTTGGAATTTATACTCTTCTTGCTTTCAATAAGGAATTTAATGCTTTCCACCGAATTCTGGCAAAACTTTGACAAAAAGAAAAGAAAGAAATTTGACAGGAAGATAGATGAAAGGAGGTGAGTATCGTACTCAACCGTTAACAGTTGCTTGAGATATCATTTTAAGGGTTGTGACTTACTGATCTTTTCAATTAAATCAGCTACTAGAACAATCAACAATACTTAATAGTATCTCTAACTGGTATTACGTTCACAGTAAAATAGAGTTTTAATATCCTGAATTTCATTCAGGAATAGAATTAGACGAGTTCACTAAAAAAATATTAGAGTGCTATGACTCTACTGGTCATGATTATCCAATTTTTGCACACAACAAATAACTTTATTTAATGAAAGGGAGTATATATTTATAACCAAAAGAAAACAAAAAATAGCTCAAAATACCACATAGTAGTTTACAAAACAAAGAGATAAAACCATGGGTAGAAGTAAATACCACCATTTAAAAATAAAGCATAAGAAAAACTCATAAGTAAAACGACCGATTTTCACTAGGGAGAGGGATAGAGTATGGATCCAGCTCCAAAAGGGATGTGTACATGGAACTCAAAATTTTTCCTCAGTTTTCGATCAAATTTAGTCCCTTGGTGAAAGTTTAGAATTTATATATTTATTTATTTATTTATTTGGGTGCAAGTATTCATTGGAAATGAATTTGCTATTAAGCTATTCATTTCATTTATTTTCCTTTGATCTTGGCTACATGGCCTTCCTATTGATGGATACGGTTTCTATGAGTCCATGTAGAAATGAGTTCTACCTTAAAATTCTATCTATTTTTTAGATGGATTTTTAATTTTTAAGGACATATGATCTCTAAAATTGGAGATCATGAATATAAAAAAATAAATAAATCTTTAAAATTAAAAATAATAGTTTTCTAAAAAAAAACATTTGAACCTTTAGTTTCAACTGTTTTTAGATGGAACGCCCATTGCAACTCTATGACTATGACCCCGTGGGTCTTGGGTCTGGTCAGATCCATTGCAACTCTATGACTATGAGCTTCTTTTTTTTGTTTTGTTTTTTTTTCTTGCTTTTTTTTTCACCATCATATACCCTATGACTATGATTTTTATTTATTTTTGCCAATAATTTTGTAAATACTGCAAATATTGTGACAATATAAATACCTAGCACGTTCCTAAAAACACATAATTGTCATCATATACCCTATGACTATAGGTACAAGTTACGTATCAGTCGGATCCGAACCCGAATGGTATTTGGGTCCAAAATTTGGACCCATTTCCGGACCTCGGGCCTAGTCGGTCCATTGCCACTCTAATTTTAGAAGGTTTTAAATATGAAGAACTAAAATAATATTGGGAGTATGCTGATTTCATGGGGATGATTCTCATCAAAATAGCATACCAAGATGAAAATATTCAAAAAGTTAACTGTATTCAAACAAGGGTGCGGTTTGTATAGAGCCTAGGCTCTAAACAATTAAATTAGAGCCTACCCTCAAATAATGTCAAGAAATGTAGTTTCAAATTTGGAAATCTTTGTGATAGGCTTAAAATATATTTTCATCTTTATTTATAAAGTTTAAAGTTTCAAAATTAGTGTAGATTGATAGATCTATGAAAACTTGAAAATCTTGAAAATTGATGGTCCAAAAATGCGTTACAAAATACACTATTTCGAAAACTTGAAATCTATATTTTTCTCATTTATATGCATCTTGATGTTGAGATGATCAATTTGAGGATCTTTGGGCATCAAAGCAACCTCTTCAATTGAAATTTTTGAGGTAGGTTCAAATTTGATTGTTTAGAGCCTTGGTTCTTTACAAACTACACCCTTAAATAAAATATGTCTAAATGGGGTTAAAAAAGTAAAAAAAAGTTTATATCAGGATGCAACCTAATAATGTAGAACCATTTTTGATCGATCATCTCAACATCGAGATGTATGAACATGAAAAATGAAAAGACTTGAAGTATCAGAAATATTGCATTTTACAACATATTATTTACACCGTCATTTTCAAGATTTTCATATGTTTA